CCCGGTGAAGAAGATCCGCAAGCAGATCAAGCTGCTGCTGCTGCTGCTGCTGCTGACCTGCGCCGCGTGGCTCACGTACGTGCACCTGAGCCTGGGCCGCCAGGGCCGCGCGCCGCGCCAGCGCCGGGCCGACGGGCGAGGTACGGGGACACGCACGCCCAGCTGGGCCATCGCGGGCAGGGGCGCGGCCCAGCTGCCCCGTGACGTCAGGAGGGACGCGGGCGGCCCTGGGGCGCGGCCCGCACCTGGCGTGGACCGCGGCGGGGCGCTCGGCTGCCCAAGCCCCTCCTCGCTCTGCGCGCCCAGTTTCCAGAGGCGGGTCCAGCGGTGCCTCCCGCCCTGCGCCTTCTTAGCCGGGAAAAATGAGGACCTGATGCCGGGGGCTTAAGTGGAGAGGAAATGTTTTGAGAATGATGAGGGCAATGAATGTACAAATGCACTTTACACAATTGATGTATATGTATGGATTGTGATAAGAGTTGTATGAGCCCCTAATAAAATGATTAAAAAAAAAAGAGTTGTAGGAGCCCCCAATAAAATGATTAAAAAAAGAAAGACAAAAAAAACTAGGTCATGAGCTTTTAAATGCTAATGAAAAAATATTAAATGATAACTGACAAAGCAGTAAAATTGTCATTTAAGCTATTTCCATATTATTTCTCGATTGTGCCCTTGCTTGCAATCTTCTTTGCTTTTATCCAAGCATCATGGGCTGTGTGATTTACCCTTAACCAGCCTCTGCTGAGCTTACAGCAATTATTCTGATCGTATTTTTAGCTCTTTGAACACTTCCAGGAATTGCACAATTCACTCATAATATTCTGAGGGAATTTGGGGCATTACACAAAGCAGAGAGGAACGACAGTCTGCCCCTCTTTGAACATGTGGCAGCCTTTCTCTATCTGTTTACTGAAGTAACAAACATAGAGAATAAAAGTGTAGTATTTCAGAAAATGTAATGAGTTTCATGAAATGAATAAATAAATATGACAAGCAGAGTCCCCTCTGATTTGTTAGACCTATGGACACACCGATTACACGCATTATTCTAACAACAGGTTTACCAAACTCAATGAAAACGTAGGTGTCAGTTCTGCTGAACTGGTGCAAACTGGTTGAATGCCACCACTGGCCCTAGGCCTGATGAAATTTCCTCCGAAGTGTGTCTACTTCCTGTGTCAGTGGATACTATAGAAACGCTTGTTTGACCTTAGCTGACCGTGGGCCCTGCCTGGGCCTGGTCAGCCTCTGGTTCCTTGGACCTGGCCAACAACCCGTCATATTGCCTGTGGCCCGGGGCCATCAGCCTGTGATCCTCCAGCTTCGTCTTCCTGCGTCCAGGTTGGTCAGCCCCGCAACTACTGGAGTCTGGAGCAGCCTGTCCTACAGGGTCCCTGTGAGTCCCAGCAATGAGTTTAATGCATGCTGAGTTGACCAGAGAGGACTCTCCTAGGTGGCCCTGCTGCCCACTTAGTTACAGGGACATGTGTCGCCCTGTGTGGTTCAGATTACGAGACAAGCAGAGCACCTGGGGCAGAAAGAAGTCTCACTCTCAAGACGGCTGTGGACACAAGTGGTGACTGGCTGGCCACTGTGCCAGAGGTGCCGACTCAACTTACTTCCCTGTGGCCAAAACCAAGAGGCCATCGGTGTGGCCTTGCTGCAGACCCACAGAAATCGGTGTCCTCCGCTGAGTGGCCTCACTCCATCACTCCACTCAACACAGCATTTCTTTGTTCGCGTGTCCTCTCTGCCCGGGGCTCTGCCTAGGGGTCCACTGCTGTGTGCCTCGAAGCCCTAGCCGCTGAGGACCAAGGAAACCTTTTCGGGACGAAGGCCTGTGCTACTGCAGCCACGAGAGGAAAATCAGTGCGCACGCACCACGCCGAAAGGTGGGACCAAAATGTATGGTTTGGTGAGAGGGCGGTAAGGGAAGGGCTAGCGCCTTAAAGGAGAAACCGAGGCAGCAGCCTCCGTGAACGCGTGGCGCCAGGGCCTGAGCTGACCCCACCCGCCAGGGCCTGGGTCAGTGCAGCCCGGGCCTC